ATTAGCATCAGAAACTGAATCGAATAATGTATCATTCAGTCAGCTGTTTCAGCAATTTGTGCTGCAAAAAAACACTTGTATTAAAAAATAACTTTCGCTATAGACTGCTATCCATTCCAAAACACAAGGCCGGTGGTTATTTTTTGAATAACTCAAAAGCAATAAAAGAGAGAGACTTGCGGTTTTTATCATTCACTAGCCAAGGTTTGAAGCTATGTTTTCATAACCCAAAACGAATTTGAAAAGAACTTCAAAGACCGATTTTTCAGGAGATCTGTGAAAAACCAGTTCAGTTTTCTGAAAGCTAGCATAGAAATGTATGATTTGTTTTACGTGGATATATAGTCCGAAGTGTCCTCTACAAAACGAGATCCAAGCGACATCTTTGAAATTCATGGTTCGGGAGCTATGGATGTTTTTCCTGAAGCCTTAGCACTCCTGTGCCGTTAGGTTTGGGACTGTCAGAAACGAATGAAAACATAGGTTATCGACTATGCTGAGTCTCGTGGCAATGTTAGTTTTCAGAACAAAATGCAACAACCAGGTGAAAACCTTATACTAAGTGAATAGGTGAAACGTTTTAGTTTTTCATGAAAATAATCGAGAATAGGATATTTCACCTAGTATAAGTTTTCACTCGGTCGGGGGCACTAGGGGCTTTCAGTGAGCTTAACGTTGCCCACCGAAATCTTTTCATCTATTCATAGATCAAGGTTGGAACTACTTATGCACCAAATATTTCCAAAATTCGTCTTATGCCATAGGAGAAAATCGATTTTGAAAACTGACATTTTCAGCCAAAGTCGCTATTTTCGATGCAGTTTTTATTTGAGCAAAAGCGAATTAGAAGCTCACGCGTTCAGGTGTTGTAGTATTCGAGGTCCTCTATCTAATGGTGTTTCCAAAAGTTTCTCAAAATGTTTCGTTTCGATACAGTATGGCGCCAAAATATAAGTGTAGGACGTACCGGATACAGGTCACTGTATGAGAACGAAATCATTCCTAGAAGTTGGGTTTGTTGTAAATCGAAGAAAAATGTTAGCTCTATTTATGTAAAAAATTTGAGCTCTTTATCTTATATGATTATCGAGATATGAGCAACACAAAGTTGTCAATATGAGAGATGTCGCATTTTTCAAAAGTTGGTCGAAATTTTAAATGCTCGTTTCTCAGCAACCCAGCAATATTTTTTCAAACGGAAAGCGCCGTTTTACTCAGAAATGTCTATATTTTCTTTTATGACTGATTCGAACGAGTTGTGTGAGATACGATTGAGCATTATCAGTCGTGGCTGATGTGAAATGGCTCTTAAGTAAAAACCTGAAAAATTGATAACTTTTTACAGAAAAGACTGTGTAACAGTGGAAATGGTCGTATCTTGTAGCTCAGACTTACCTCTATATTAGACTATGTTCAGCTCAAAATAAAAATTTTGTCAAAAAAGAGAAATGTCCTTAAAAAAAATGTTCTTAGCGAATGCAAATGCAAAATAAGTCTGGCAGTTCGAAATTCTGGTACACGACTCAACTTGGTGTAATCGTTCTTCTAAATATGCATGCTCTTTCCTGAGACAAATGATCTTAAGTAATTGATCTTAAGTAATAAAAAATTATGGTCAACTATATACAACAAATTATGGTCAAGAGTATATTTGACCGACTTTGGTACACATATGACTTTCCACTCGTTCGATAATGATTCAACCCTAATAAAATGATTTAAGTTTGTGATAAATAGATTACATTGGAGAATGATTCTCAATGGTGAGATGCAATCAAAGTGATCGATGGTAAATTAATGTATTAAAAGTTTTTTTGAAAAAATACTCTGACTACTCTAATTGCTATTTAACAACTACTCGTAGTTAACTCAAAACGAAAACTTTCACACAATGCCTACATGCTAAATTTAGCTGTGACCATCCGAATTATGAATAAGTCTTGCTGAATGAATCGGTGACCGAAACCAAACGCGACTGTAACATGCATAATGTCAAAATCATCAAAGAGTACGGTATAATGTTGTTTACGTTAGGGTTTAGTGTTTAGGACAGGATTACCAAGTGATCAATATTGTGCCATATTACCAGACAATTTAAAAGGCAGAAGATGAACGATGAAACAACGATCTTCAGTCTCATGGTAAAGCTTTAAGTAGCGTCAATAGTATAAATAGCATTCAATAAAATTCGGATAGAGATCCAACGATTGCAATTCAGGCTGAAGTAAAATGGTAATACGAAGTTAATGCGAACGAAACAGGGCCTTTTTCATCATATTTAGAGAAGAAATCAAAGTGATGCATTAAACATTCCATTAATTGTTAAGTATATTCGTTTTTATTTTGCTGACTAGAAATGAGCATATATCATACAAACGAAATAGATTCAAAAGGAAATAAAGTTAATAAGTTAAGAAAAAACATAAGTTTAATACTAGCAGAGAAAAAAAAACATGCAATATTTAAACTCGTTCAAATTCAGATTATGTCTACTGGAAGAAATTGGAACAATTCTGGTAATTTTTTTCATTTAGATTTATACTGACTGGTTTACAAAAAAACAGTGCTTTTCTTGAAATAAAACTTGTAATTGATATAGATGCAACATGTAAGTTGAAGTATAAAGAAAGTAGAATATATATATCTGCACTAACAACTGTACCTAGTGTACAAAAAAAATACTATTAATAACTGCATAGTAGTTAGATAAAACAAAGAATATCAATGTTTAGCTTGGTTCGTATCATCAAAACTATTATTACCATTCAGATCCGTTTGCTCTCTATTATTGTCATTGTTAATAATATTGCTATTATCATCGTCATCGAAGAACTCCACATAATTAAATGGAAACGTTCCCTGACGATTCGACGATAACAGTCGACCTTCACATTGACCATTATTATCAGCTTTTGTTACATAAATAATATCATCGATTTCTAAACGTAACGCATGTTTGTCATATAAACTTGGTATTCGATTTTTTATAACACGTGCTTTCGCTGGAAGTTTTAATGTGGACTATAATAGAAAGAAAACAATCGTTTATTATTTTGTTCATACCACTGATACATAGCTCAAATTAACACTTATTCTTACTTTTGCGTCATCTCTTTCATCTGTGTGACTGTTTGAACTATCGGTAAAATCTGACTTCATAGAATCATTGCTAATACTCGTCTATAAAATAATAAATAGAAGAATAATATTGCTGTGAAAAAAAAACCGAAGTTAAAATCTCGTACATCATTACTCGATGTTCTTTTTATTTTATCAATCGAATCAAGACCCGATGCTATCTGCCGTTCTTTTCCATTAATTACACTTGGTCTTATAACCTTAAATAAAAAGAAAATATTTTTTTGCCAAAAAATCAAAGAGAATCAATTTTACTGGTTTTAATAATGGAGCAGTGTCCAAATAATGTAGTGTATAGTGTTTCAGAAGTGATGCCATATCATCAAAATGATTTTGCCCAATTTTATATTTCAGTGTATCACCTTGTTCAATTTTGTTGATAATGTAATGCATAACTTTGACACCTTCTCTGAAAATGATGAGAAAATGCATAGTTTGTTTCAGAAACTCTATTATCACCAACTTACTTAACACATAAAACATAATCGCCTTTCAACGTTGCCGAGTCGCGAACAAGAAATGTTCCACCTTCATGTTCTGCTAGAATATCATTTGCTTCTGCTCGTGAAAGATTTTCAAAATACCAACTAAATGAACAAAAATGAGTTTTTGAAAATCATTTCAAGCTTCCTAAACTACCTTTCTTTGTCATAAGGATTAAACTCATTAATGGGCATTATCAAATTCCATTAAATATAGTCATTCATTCATTCATTCATTCATTCATAAATATGATCTAAAAAACGTAAACATCGTTTGTTAAATGATGTACTTCGATGTGTGCAAAGTAGATATTGAGAACCTTCAGAAACATGAAAAACGACAGTGAGAAAGAAACATCTAAAATAGACTACTGGGTTGATACGATCATGCACTAGCTCTAGTGATCGCAAGAAGAGTAAGTTTGCAAAAAAAACAGCAAGATTAATTAAACATTGTTACTGTTCGATTACCATTTTGGTTCATATACTTTGAACTAAAGAATATAAATGTGTAATTTCTAAGCGGATGAAGTTGCACCAATATCAATTTTTCTTTTTTCTATATGCTCGAGAGATGGCATTTTATGTCATTATAAATTAACATTTTTTTTTGTTGGTTTTCCTGATCTCACTTTCTCAACTAGGTAGGTACGCACTCTATAGAACGAATGAATAATTGGTGAAATCTCTGTTCTATCCAATCATTAAGGCGATTAGATGTATCGAGTTTCTTGTTCTCTGTATGTATGGTATATTCTATATATCTATATAGATTTTATTTATTTATTTGTTTTGGTTTCGATTTTTTTTGCTTCTTGCGGGTATGAGACATATTATGTTCATATTGTTACCTAATCTGACAAATCAACCAAAAATAAATAGGCCTTCGGTGGAGCTTTGTTTGAAACGATATGAGAAAACTATAATACGATAGTATTTCACACTCAATAGTTTGTCGCCAGAAGGAAAACATTAAATAATCTAACAATCTATAAAATTTTTAATTTAAGATTTTTATTATTGATAACCTGTTTAAACCATAATTCCTTTAATTTAATTCGAAGAACGACTGTTCTCAAATGCATCTAGAAGGAATGGGGTAAAATCAAAATCTAAAAAGTAGTAGTCAGTTTTGAAAAAAAAATTTTGCATTGTTTTTGTTTTTAGAGAACAACATCCACTTTTTACATGTAAAGCACATATATTTCAGGTTAGTTCTAAATACAAAATATGACAGAAATTGAAATCATGAAATAATATTTCTGTTTAGGTTGATCCAGAAACACGAAAATCGTGGATACAGTTATCGGGTGGTGCTGGTAAGTCTTTTTTATCTATTAAGTTTGTTTACGCTAAACTAATTTGTTCATTTATACTTATAGTAAACGTTCAAATATTTCATGATAGTGTTAAGAACGTTTATCGAATCTTGTCTGTTGAGAATTCCAAGGTATTCATACAAGAAATCAAATTTTACGTGATAATAAATATTTTCTATTTAATAGGTGTTAATAAATACCGTTGTATCTGCTCGAATGACATTTACTAAAACTTCACAAAAGTTTTGTCAATGGGTCGATTCTCGAGCAAATACGGTTTATGGCTTGGGATTTGCTAATGAAACGGATCTGAGTCGAGTAAGTAAAACAGTTGTGATGTTAGTCACATCACCGTGTATTCATTTTTTTTTTGCCTTGTAGTTTATGGAAAAATTTGTTGAAGTAAAAGAAGCAACACGAAATGCTCAGAAAAACAGTGAACATAGAAGTAGTAGCGTGGATGCAAGACAAACACCACGGGTAATAAGTTTGGATTCTTTTCTGTTTTTTAACTAATCAATAGGTATGTCTTTTTCCAGTCCGAAGCAGATTGGTCGATACAGTCGAATGATGGACAGTTAAAATATGAGAACGGTTGTCTAAAATTGGCTTTAGCACAAAGGTAATGATACAAATCGTTAAAGCAGAAATATTTAGTTTAGGATATTTTTTAGTTCTCAAAATGCAAAAAAATGGCAAGATGAATTAGAAATCTTGCGAAATAATAATGTTAAATTAACAACAGCGCTTCAAGAAAGTCACGGAAATGTTGAAGAATGGAAACGTCAATTACAATTTTATCGTGATGAGTGTTCACGACTTCGTCAAATGGTAAACGTTTTTTTCTATTTTATACAAAAATCAAAAAGTAAAGTTATTCTCTTTATTAGGTAGCAAATCATACAGTTGGAAATACACCCAGTGGTCATGATGCACAAGAACTAAAAAGTCTTTTGGACGCAGCTGATCAACGAAATAAAGAACAAGAACAGGTAAAACAGCGCAAATAGCATTCATTTAAACGTTGTTAAATGAATATATTTTTCGTTTAGAAAATGCTCATACTTGAAAATCAAGTACAAAAATATATGTCACAAATGGGAACATTACAAGATCGTTTATCGGTATGAAGAGAGGAATAATAATCGTAACTAGAATTTTTCAAATCCGCCTTTATAACCCCGCTTTATAACTTGTTAATGTTTTTTAATTTTTTATTCTAGTCTGTTGAATCGGATAATCATAGTTTAAGTACAGAATTACAATTAATACAACGTCGAACACCACAACATGATAATACTATTATTGGCGGTACATTACCACGATCTCGTCCCATGTCACCGGGAAATATTTCTAATCATCGTCGGGTTCAGTTAATGCGTATGAAAGAATTATTTGAAAAAAAATCACAAGATTTTCGTGATACAATACAAACAAAATCTCAAGATTTACAACATTTATGTCTACAGATAACTCAAAGTGTTGCTGAATTATAATTTATGTGCAGATTCCAAATATCTTTATTTGTGAATTATTTTAATTTATATTATAAAAGAAACGAAACATGAATCCATTTTACTCAGGATATATTCGTTTATTTCTTTACTTCGTCTATACTCATTGTGATCTGTCAGATCGTTTTCTTTTTTTAAACTCTACAACGAAGATAAAAGAGTTTTCTTTTCTTTTTCCTTCGAAAGATTATCTACTTATTTATTGGTAAAACTTTTTTTTTACTTTTATACGACGATTCTTTTTTATTCTTATCTTTTTTGATAAAGAGAGAATGAAAAGTTGTTTTTGAGCGATTTCAGTTACTAATCCTTAATATGTAACATGTTCGATTTGTTTTGTGTTTGTAGCAAGAAATTATTCTTGTTTATTTTTTATTTGTTTTATTGATAGAAATCTATGCTTACGAGTCACCTCGCTGTTATTGTAATCACATTCCACGTTGACCGTCCAAACGAGCTGATTGTACATCACACTCGTAGTTTTTTTTATTATGTTGTCTATCTAAGAAGATTTTTATTGTTTTAATTTCTCTAATAATTTAATGTAATTCTCTCACATATATGTGTTAGTGTGTGTATCGTAGTGATTTCTTTTCTATTTATTTGATTTTATTCCATCGTAATATTCTCTTTGAACAATAAAATGAACCGTAATTTAGTGATCTTCTTTTTTTGTGCACTTTTAATGTAGTTGTTATATAGTTATTTATAAAATGATCGTTCAATCCAGTGTTGGTATTTTTTATATGCATAATATACTTCGTTTTTTTTTGTATCAAATGAGAAAATCAAATACTAACGAATTCTATAAAATATTTATTCTTCTTTTTTGTCTTCCATTTCAGTTTAAGAGAATGAAAGTTGTGAATAATTCCATGGTTTTTTGAATTTTTCTATGAAAAGTAAATTCTCTAAAGTTTTGTTGCAAATAAATACGTTCCATTTTTCTTTTAGAAATTTTTCTTTTGTTTTTATATACTCATTATTGTAATCAATCATTAAGTCTAGCTATTATTGTTTATCAAGTAATTTGTTTTTTATACAAATCATAGAATAAATATATGACTGGTTTCAAACATTGATATACAAAATTTGATACAATAATTCAGAAAATGTGCATAAAGAATAAATATCCAATTAGCAATAAAATATAATAAAGTATCTCTCTGTTATCACATTTACCTTAAGTTCTCGTTACGAGAAAAAAGAAATTTAGACTAAGAAGGGAGAAGCAACTCTTGATGCTGTTTTGAAGGCTGAAAAGTGTCGAGTGCTGTTTTCCTTTTAATTCAAATAATTCAACAGGTAGAGTCATGGTGTGTTTTTTTTTCACAAAGAAAAGGATATATTGTGTAAAAGTGAATGCAAACTCGATCGATCCTATCCATAGTCAGAAGAATTTCTGAACTGAGTAGAATTTATTGAATTTTTGACAACGATTCTTCGCAGATGAACTAATGGTAAGAAAATCAATTCAAATCTTTATTCAATTAAAAGTAGAAATGTTTATTCGACGTGTGGCGGTGCCATCAGCACTATAACCGTTCTATTTGCACTGTGCAATTAAAAGAGGAAAAAGTTTATTGCTCGTTTTGCACAGTTAACACATATGTCAATATATATCTAATAGGTTTACTTTATATGTATCGTGAAAAAAAATAGTTGAGTGAGAATTTTATTTAAACTACTCGGCGATCGGTTTTATTTCTCCGATAGTATTTGTTCTTTCTCTCTCTTGCCTATTATCGTAAATTGTTTGATTCATTATCGTAGAAATGTATTGAGTGTTATTAGATTGATCATTTTTACATTTTAAAACTTGAAAAAAGAAAAAGAACTTTAACCATAGTAACAGTCAAATGTATGTGAGTGGGTAAACAAACAAAATTATTAAAAGTTATTTTTTTGTTCATTCAACATACTCTCTCATTATTGTTGTTTGTCACGCACGCTTTAAAAAACCGCTCATACTACTTAATCAAACAGCACGCATCGTATTGCAAAAAAATAAACAAAAATAGTCTCTCATTTTGTAAAAAACGACTAATCCACTGTTTTATTCGTTTTCCTTATAATAACAAACAGTTTTCTTGATATTTAATAAACATACCAACAAGGAATACATTAGAATAAAAAAAATGGTCATAACGACTTAATCATTATTATTAAATTTTGGTATTATCAGTATTTAAAAACGAAAAGATGAATCCTTCTCGAGGGTTAGTATGTTTCTCATTGGCTTCAACGCTACATGGTGAAGCTCATCTCTTGTTTTACATAATCCATTTAATAACTTAATAATTATAACATTTTAATATTATAATTTCTTGTGATATGCGAGTAGTTTTACATGCAGAAGAAACATAAAGGCTGTTCACATATAAGAATGTTATAGACACATAGCAATTGTGGAAGCTTAGAGCTTGATATTGATATGTCATTAGAGTCATATAAAATTAGAGCTATCTCTTTTCTTTTCTTGAAAAATATTAAAAACTGTCTGACAGGCATTCAGTCCATGAATGACTCTGGTTCAATGTATCTTAGACATTTTTTTATCCAAATTAAAAATAGACTTTACTTTATATTCACAAGGCTTTTGTTTACTCAAAATATAAAAAATTCAACTTTCTCAATAGAATCCTTCAAAGTACTTCCTCAATTTCAGTATATTATCTTTCCATTCGAACAAGATATACATACGTATGCCGTTGAAATTGAGGGAGTACTTTGAAGGATTCCATTCAGAAAGTCTTAAACTTTTACATTTTTGAGTAAACAAAAACCTTGTGGATATAACGGTAAAGTCTATTTTTGATTTGGATAAAAAAAATATCTAAGTTATGAACAATACATTGAACCAAAGTCATTCATAGACTGAATGGGTGTCAGATATTTTTTAATATTTGTCAAGAAACGAAAAGAAAGAGATAGCTCTAATTTTATATGGCTCTAGGGGTGTTAATATTATGTGTTTTATTTTTAGTCGATACGACAATCGAAAAATTATTACACAACATGGTCAATACCATAATGTATGGGAATTTGAAAACGAATGGTACTCTGGATTATGTAAATGTAAACCTGCCAAACGATGTAAATATATTTTAGAAGCTTGAGACATTGTAGAATTTCATTTTCTTAACTTTCAGGCTGTTTTGCTTGGTTCTGTTATCCATGCTTCATGTGTAAAGTGGCGAAACAAAATGGTGAAGAGCAATGGTTAGGGTGTTGTCCCTGTTCTCTATTTGGTCTTCGAACAAAACTACGTACAGCAAGAAGAATTAAGGTGAATATTTACAATATAGTATTATATATTAATACAAACTTATCCATTCGTTTCTAGGGATCATTAGTCGGCGACTGTTGCGTGTCAAGTTTCTGTAAATGTTGTACCGCATTACAATTAGCAAATGAATTAGAGAGTCAGGGTTTGTTTTAACATCTGATTTTCAAAATATAGCCAAAGGACGAGCAATTTAAATATGGTAATTCAAAGAACAAAGACTAAATGAATCGTAGATCATATGATCTATGAAGATAGTTAAATAGATGCGCCTGCTCTCAATTGTTCTTATATGTGGGAATTTTTTCTGGAAAAGTTTCTTTATTATAAATGTAAATGTTATGTTTGAATTTGATTCAAATAATAAATTAAAAATCTTCAGCAGTAATAAAATTTAATAACGGAACATTCTCATCATTATTTTACATTGGACATACTCTCTAAAATACCATATTTCCCAGAAAAATCGAAGAACTTGACTTGAACTTGAAAGTTTATTTTATGCCCAAGAAAACATCTCGTAACAAAGGAAAGGACAAAAAAACCAAAGGCTTGTAAATACAGTGCCACCACGCAGAAAAGAGAAGAACTGCAAGAAGAGGATAGAACATCAGTTTATTAACTTTTTGATCTTGAGCACTGTACCTGTTTTCTCAGTCCTTGGAAGTGTTATTTGTTTTCGGTTGTCTACGTTTGGATTACGTCCATGCTTCACAGTATCATTATACTATTGATTGACAAAGTCAAAGACTTCCAACAGTGTTTTTTTTTTTATTATATCAATGCGATATCTATCATAGTGTTCGTGTTATCGTATGTACTTGTTGTAATTGTTATATACTTTTTAAGATGATCGATTAGGTAAGCAAATTCTGTTACACTTTATTTTGCCAGAATTATTCCGCCTATGAAGTGTAATAGTAGGTTTGATAAAAGTAGCTTTTTTCTTTTTTGTTGTTAAAAAATCATGACGAACGTTGGTTGAAACAACCCAAAAAGTTTTTTAAATTATGAAAGAAAGCCTGTTTTGAAAATATAATATCTTTTACACTTTACTTATTAAAGAATCTCATATCGATTATCAACTATAAATTAAGACAAATAAAAAAAGAGTTCTATTACAATTGTGAAGGTATTAAAGAATTCTACCTATTACATTTTATGCTGTTTTCACCAGGTGGTTGTAATTAGTTTTAATATTAGACTATAAGAGCGTAGAAACTCCACCTAATCGATTCACTCGCGTAGAAGCTTCTGAACACTGCTCTTAACCCAGAGATGGGCGAGTCCGAGTCGACTCGAGTCGCATTTTTTTATGACTCAGACTCGAACTCAGACTCGAGGTGAAAGACTCGATAAACTTGATAAACTGACTCGAGTCACTTTCGAGTCAGTTTTGTGCAACTTAGAGTTGTTATTACGATGTTTATTATATTTGTTATATACAGAAGAGAGAGAGATTTGAGAATATTCTAAGTAGCACATTGCGTCACATGAGAGGATTGAAGATCTGTTCTTGGAAAAATGAATCAGGAGGAAGTTTTCCTCTAGAAAATGACTCGAAGTGAGTCGAGATGACTCGAGTCAATTTTGATGCGACTTGGACTCGGACTCGAAAAAGTGGTGACTCGCCCATCACTGTCTTAACCATTTGTTCCCCATAGAACGATTCACTGTTTCAATACCATAAACCTCTTTCGTTCAAAATCGAGGAGTTAGAGAAGCACCATATGGACTCGAGTGCTTTTAAACTCTTACAAAGCTATGGTAAGATTATTTCTTAATAATTCGGAGGATAAAATTTTTAGGATAAGAGATAGATACGTATTGAACGAAAACATTTATCGAAAACATTAGTAAGACTCAGAGGCAATGCATTCCTTCCTCTTCCTATTTCTCAGGTGAACTCAAATGATTTCCCATATTATGGAAAACAAAGTACAATGGAAAGGTGCAAATGCATTTTTCTAATACTATTAGCTATTAATATGTAATATTAAAATATCCAAATATTTATTGTTTATCACGACTAATTTATTCAAATAAACGATATAAATTATACTAAAATCAAGCGCAATAGCTATGTTCTCACATACGGAAATAACTGAGGATCCAGTGGATATAATAAAAGTAATGTCTTCTGCGATACTTTGGAAAGAATTATTAATTGTACCATTTCTACGAAAATAATATTTTTCTTCGATTCAGTGGACTGGATTCGAATTGAACTAGACCGAAAATATCAAATATATGGATTCGGAATCGACTACACTAGTATAGCTTTTTTGAAGTCATGAACAGAGATCTGTTAACCAAAAGCGCAAGACTCAATAACCGATAGTGATTATCAATGACAGCAGCACTGACTTTTCTGTGCCATAGTAACGATCATTTTTAAATTTATTTCATTCTTTTTCTTACCAGTAGAATGTGTTCCACGTGTGACAATTCAGATGTCGTCGAAAAGATTTATTTTCGGTTTCGTTCTTCTGAAAAAAAAGATTTAAAATCATTGAGATATTTGAGAAAGCTGTTAAGTTGCTAAAACAAACTTGTTTGAGTGAAAAGTCGTATATGGACTGAATGATTCTATTGAACTACATATACTGTTATTTCTTTTTTTTGTTATTGTATCGTCGATTTCTGAAGTCTTGACTACATAACTACTTCATAAAAAAGAAAAAGAGTATATACTTCGATATATTGTTTCATTAGAGTTTTATAACTTGTAACAAGCAGTTCGTTTTAGATCTTTCTTCTTCAGTTTTTACACAACATACGCCATAGAATAGAAGATGAGGTAAGATATGTTTACTTTATTAGTGCCATTATATATCTAATTAATTTATTCTAGTATCACTACACAACCTGGAAGTCTACATTGGAAAAAGGACAAGGACTGGAGTAGTCCATTGATGTCCTGCCCGTGTCCTCAAGGATTATTTGCTTGCTTCTGTTGTCCTATCTATGCCTGTACAATACTGAAACGTGCAGAGGAACATCCATGTAGTTATTGTCTTGCACCGATGGCATTAGGGCAGTTAAGAACAAAAATAAGAACGACATACAATATAAAAGTAAGTATTTAGTTATCAGCTCCACAAGGTATGTGTTGTTGATTGATTATATACTTTTCTTTACTTTTAGGGTTCGTTGTTGGAAGATTGTTGTGTAACGACCTGCTGTCTATGCGAATGCTCAATGATTCAGATGGATCGCGAATTAGATCATCAAGGTTTTACACCAAAATCAAAAGTAGCGCTTACCTAGACGTGAAAGAAGAGCTACAAATGCCGAACAATTGTTACAAGCAGACTATCGAAAATAACTATTCTTTTATTGATTCGTTCATAAACTAAAAAAATGTATAGTTTCGATCTAAATTTTTTTACTGAAACCTTTAGTTTTTTTTTCAATTAATACATGCAAATCTAGCTACAAACTTACTTACTGTAATCAGGTATAGATGAGATACAAAGAGTAAACTAAGGTGAATCTTAAAACGATTCTCGGCTCTGGCACTAGAGTATACATACATAGTCACGTTTTAAATCAATGGTTAATAACTATTTTCTTACAAAATCGATCAAGTTCAGAATTAAAGTCTCTGAGAAGAATGTGTTCAAACAGTTGAGCTAATATCCACATCATACTAAAGCAAAGTATTGAAATAGCCCTGCAAAAGTGAGATAAAAACTTCTAATAATACATATTCTGATCTATCAATTCACATATTTCATTTGATAAATATGTTTTTGTCAAACAGAAACATGCTTAGCCTATAAAAATCCAGAGATACTGTCTATGAAACAACTTGGTTATTGATCATGTCGCAAATACCTGTACACACCCTCACCCAGCTCATTCAGATTGTTGTATTAAATAGCCAAAGTTTAACCTCCTTTTAGATGTGTAGCCTGATTTTTCACATTTGATCAAATACAATAATTCGAGTCAAGATTTTCATCGTTTTTCGACGCATAGATGCGTTGACAAGGCAAACTCTTGATTACATACTATTTAACAAAACATACTTTTACTATTAACTTCTTGTGAGACAAACAAAATTCTTTTTACTTTCACAACTATAGTGGCGAAAAATGAGGTAAAATATCTTCAATCGGTATGTTTAAAATAACACTGGAATCTTGTTTCTAGTCAGATTACTTCACAACCTGGTATTCGTGATAGTTGGCATTTTGAGAACAACTGGAGTAATCCACTCATCACTTGTCCATGTCCATTAAGTGCATTTGCTTGTTTTTGTTGTCCTTGTTATGCATGTAAAGTGATGGAACGCGGAGGCGAATTCTTTTTAAGTTATTGTGTTGCACCAATGGCATTAGGCCAGTTAAGAACAAAAATAAGAACGGCATACAGAATAAACGTACGTATATATCTTTTATTCATCAGATTCGATTGTTCATCTCTCCTTCTTTTCAGGGTTCTGTGTTGAGCGATTGTTGTGTAACCACTTGTTGCTTGTGTAGTTGCGCATTGGTTCAATTGGATCGTGAATTAGACCATCGAGGCGTTATGCCAATATCAAAATGGGCATCTAGCGAACTTAGGAAGTAAAACATGCCGCATGTAACTTTTCAAACGAACGTCGTTTTAACTAGTTAATCATACGTGCAGAGAATTTGTAGTTGACCATTTGCTTTTTTAAGTTTTAATTCAATCGAAATATTGTGTTTTTTGTACGAATTCGAAGTTTGAGGTGAATTTTGTAGGAAAAAAGTTTATTAACATGAACCCTGTCGATCAAAGATGAAAACTGAAATTCTGACATGCGTTTCTTTTTCGATGAACAGATCTGTAACGTTGAGAATAAGATTTAATAAATGAGCCATTAAACTACACATATTATACTGCGAAGAGTTTGCAGGGAACAACTATTGTTTTTTTGCTAGACTTAAGCCTAGAACTAAATCATCTTTTAATATCATATATCACCTTTAGACGAAGCATTGGTAACTACTGTCCGTCTGCGGATGACATCAAAGACGGAGTAAAAGCTCGCTTCCAAAATTCATACTTCTTTCTATTATTTTGGAGTTCCATAAAATGAACTTTTTTTGTTTCAAATTTGCCCCATCCCAAACGATTTCTGGACAACTTTAAATCTTCATTTTTTCCTGGCTTTGGAGTTAGATACGTGACACTGAAACGGGTCTACATCAGAGCAGGATTCCCGATCAGAGGTGGAGCAGCCCTCCCTGGAAATGTTTTTTGACTTTCTGGCAAAAGTTTTAACGGCTTTCTACCAGCAACTTTCTACCAAAAATTTCGAAAAGTTTTTTTCGCCAGCCACTTTCTGCGAAGCAAAATTTTTAGTCCCTCCCATCCCTGAGCTGGCCCTCCCTGGTCAGGAACCCTGCATCAGAATACTCATTATAGAACACAAGAATACTCTAGAAAAAAGGTCGTTTATTCATAATAATAGCTATTAAAATGTTTCTTATAAGTGTGTATGTATGCGTGAATGGTATTATCTGATTCGATACAATCGGTTGTTAGGATTAGTGCACTGGATGTTTAAATCCTGTTAAAGCAAAAGAAATAAGCAAATACATTTGAGCATATTACGAAAGAAGAAAAATATTCAGAAATTTCTCGCAAATGAATCCACCACCGTAAGTTTGATGTGAATTTTAACGAGGATTATTCGGACAATCTATGACTGTTGTGTTAATAGAGTAATTGTTCGAACTCAGCCAGGAGTGGATATTTGGAACTTTGAAAATGAGTGGTCTCAAGATTTTTGTCATTGTTGTGCTAATATGGGCATTTGTAAGCGAATTTTAGACGGTTATGGTACACATGATGGATATATCGTCTATTTCTTTTCAGGTTGCCGAGCTTGTTTCTGTTGTCCATGTTATTTATTTCAAATATTCAAACGAACGGGTGAAAATTATGCTATGTGTCTGTTTTATTGTTGTACATTATATCACGTACGAACTAAGATTAGAACGGCATTCAGAATAGAGGTACGATACTTTGCCACACTGAATAATATTCTCTAAAGGATTTTTCTTTATGTCTTTTCTCTAGGGAACTATTTTGGGTGATTGTTCAGCAGCGCTATGTTGTACATGCTGTACGATAATTCAAATCGGAAAAGAACTGACAGATCAGGGTTTATAAAAAGAAGCTAACTGCCGATTTAAGTACAAACAAATGCACTTTTTGGACCAATGATCATTACGCTGTATAATTGAGATAAAAGATATCTCGTTTTGTAGAACAGTACACACCACTAAAGCTAGTACATCGGTGTTCTTTATATTGGAAAAAATAAACGAATTATTCAATTTTCGAACGCATTTTCTCTCGTGAAAAAATCGTTGTTTTGTTGTCGGTTAGGATCAACGGATATTTTATTTGCACTGCATACTATTTCCTGGCATTGCTTTTTTGACACATATTGCGAGATTTAAGAAAATATATCAGTATTTCAATGAGAGAGATGCATGGATAAAACATTCCACACTATCATTCATGACATAGTGATTTGTCGTAGAACTTGGTGGGCCTTCAGTGTTCAGTTTTCGATAAATGTTAAATTAAAACAGATGTATTAACCCTTTCATCAATTCATTTCTTTTTTCTGTCCTATTTTACCTGTAGTGCAACCTCATGTAATTAGAAAACCTAGTTATACGTCGCTGGAACTAATAAAACCGACATTTCGTCGGAGATTAACGTTACTGTGATGGCTACTTGGTTTTGAGGATATTTAACTAATTTATTATCTCAACATCTGTGTTTTTTTGGCCACATCTTCCTGTTGGGGACGAGTGATTCTCGGTGAGTATTCGGAACATCGTTCTTCTTCTAATGACATCTCGCGTGTCACATCAATGGGTGTTAGTGCTGGTACACATTCAACAAATACTTTTGCGGCTCTTTATGTATCGATGCCTTCCGTAGTTCCGTTTGTTCCTTGCGAGTACATCGTCTTGTGCTTTCATTCGAAGTGGCGTAATCTTACTCTGTTTCCATCAGATTACCCTTAGACGTCGCCTGTTGTACATTGTATGCTTGATGAACATATTAATCAATTCGATCAAATAGGTGTTCCATGCATCAGAACACATTTTTTTTTAACATTCTTTTTATTTGTGGAATCTATTCGTTCCGAGCATCGTTCTTCTGAACTTGGTGATCCTTGATCTAATTACTGTCCTATTTTTTCTGCTAGATCATTATCATTTTGTGTTTATAAATAACAAAGTTGAACAATAACAAACACAATAGAAAAGAGAATTTACTTCTTCGGTATTTACAGCAAAACGTTCTTCTCTCCGTTTGATATCGTTACGGTATAGTCATATATAATTATACCCAAGTTGAGTTAAAATATCTGGTAAACAATTTTACATGCCTACAACTTCTCCCTGTTATTATAGCTTGCAAATTATTAAAAAGCTTCTTCACCTAGTACTTCACATACGTTATCAATCATTTTTCTATCGGTAAATCATGCTGTTCGATTATTCAAAACATTAATTTGTTTCTTAGCTTCCATATGTTCTCTCCAATATATTTCAACAATTTGATTCCCAAGCTTATAATGTAACGGGTGACCCAGAATAAATGGCGATCTCATTTTGCTTATAACTTGGTTGGATTTCTTTCCGAGACTCAATGTTCTTTTTAAAAGATGCGCTGCGAAATACTCTACAAAATCATCCGTAAACTATCATTTTAGAACTTCAATCAAGAAAGCTAAGTCAATTAGATGGATGATAGGCGAAAAAAATGAAAACTTTTCAAACTCAAAATTTTTTTCTTTGTCTTGTGAACAATTTAACATTTATCAAAATATCAGATAACTAGCTAACTGTTGCTCATGTTTATATTCTATCACATTTAACGTATCTGAATAGTCTAATATTGATTCTTACATTAACTGTATACATTTAAAATGGGCATCACAATGTAGAGTGACAAAAAGCATTAACTGGTTAACAGAAATTTTTTAATTCAACAAAAATTTCGAAGTGTTTTTAACTGCTTCACCACTAAATTCCAAGTGCATTTTTGATTTCTTTTCTTCTTACAAAGGAAAACGTTGTTCAAGAAAATCATGTCACGCTTGTGTGAAACGCTGAATATGAACATGCTTCTATTAGAATTTCAATTTTTCAAGAGAAAGAAAGATTTTAAGGTCTAGAGACGTTTGTCACTGTATTTTCATATAGAAAATCAAATGGAAGTAGTTTGTTGAAAAAGAGTGCTTAATGTTATCTTAAACCGTTTCTTAAGTCTCATGGTCACTACGACTTATCGGAATATCTTAAACTTTTCATCCTTTTTTGTTACTAATTACGTTTAATTGAGTGTTCTATATGCAATATCACCGTGTCTATTACATATAACTTATCTACATATGTTGGTAAACCTACACAAAAATCATCTGTCGTTTATAGATCATCATTGTGAATAGCATACAGTGTACTTGTACAGAATGTATTAAGGGTACCCCTCCTCTTTTTTCACCTTGTTACCAAATGTGGAGCACCCGTCCGATCGAGTTCAAATTTATACCAGAGATAGAAGAGCGAAAAAGAAAATCAATGTATTTTTGGTCAGAATTTTGTGACATGATCTTCTATGGGTTTTCTGGAAAACTCCAAGTTTCATCCAGTCACATTATGACCCCTTGAAAAAATGATTCGATCGAGTCGAAATTTTTACCACAGATACTCCAGACCCTCCTGCTTTTCTTCTCGAGATATACGAAAAATGCTAAAAACCACACAAAAAAACCTGAAAAAAACTGACTTTTTTTGTGTTCATCCATAGAAGATTATGTCACAAAATTGTGACCAAAAATACATTGATTTTCTTTTTCGCTCTTCTATCTGGTATAAATTTGAACTCGATCGGACGTGTGCTCCGCATTTAGCAACAAGGTGAAAAAAGAGGGGGGATGGTTACCCTTAATACACGGCGTTCAAGTAATGGTTAGTTGTCGGTAAATAATGTAATGTTAGTTGTGGTGGTTATTATTCAAAACCGGTGTTATCCTATTCACTGCAAGTTTCCTTCTAAGACGTAGTTATATTTGTGTCGGTATTATCAGTCTCTTCTTTTATGCTTTTGCTATCGTCATGTTTATTATCATTATACTATTAGTTGTATAAAACTATACGGATGTTTTATGCTCTAATTCCAATCAGTTTTATGTGCTAAAAGTTGATCATGGAATATATTCATTACTGAACAAAATACTACTACGGTACTTAGAGTTTAGAAAAGTATAGAAAGAACAAATCGTTCTATATTCAAAAGTCCTCAAATGAGTAAAAACTAAAAGTATGACACAACTTTTTCTTGAGATATTTCTAAGTTAGTATGACTTGAAATCAAATTTGTTGACTTGAGTAAAGAGTATGCTTTTGCTGAACTAGTACAATTCAGAGTGAACAAGATCTCCCAACAACAAAAACCTTTGTTTTTATAAAGTACTAATTTTTTTATAATAAATAAATGTCAAATATTACACATTCAATTACACCTATCAGTTATACACATTAACCCAATAAAAGTTAATTAAGAAAGGCAAACAAAGAAAAATTTCATTCAAAAAATATAATTGAAAATTATGTGACAGAAAAAATGAGAACAAAAAAAGATAAAAAAAAACAGTAGATATTGATTGTAAATTTCAAAATCTTTATTTAAAAACGCCATGTTAGAGAAGATTCTTTATATGTGAGAATGTAAGAGTTTTAGCTCATGATCCTAGCAAAGTTAAAACCATCTGGATTAGACGTATTGGAAAGTGACAAAATATATCTATTCTATTGAGACCTTATTGACTAGAGAGACATTTAAAAAAAAATGTTATAATTATTATTAGCTAAGATTTAGCGGTCAACATATTTTCTTCTGTTAAGTTATCTGACGCCCTTCTAATTGTGTTTAGATTGTTATTTTGTTTTTGTTGTTGTGATTGAGTGTCGGGATGTTTTTTGTAAGCATACCAAGATATTGCACAACAAAGTGCAGATATGGAACGAAATCCAAAACCTAATAGAGCTAATGAAATGGCCATTCTTTTATTGTTATAATGTTTACATTGATATTTGTCACCACATGTTTCCTTAATTCTCGTAATACACGTGTGATCAATAACTTTTCCAAATAGCAATGTTCCCGGCAAATAACCCAATGATTTGGTTAATGTAGATTTGAAACCCAAAGAAAATGCACGATGTTCAGGCTCGATACTATGTAATATACCTTTGAGTGCTGGTACAATAATACAACAGCTCATAAAGACAACAACAAATGCACCGCATAATGTTAATATTAAATTTAATGTACATTTTCGTTCTTTACAACGTCCAACCATCACTGTACCATTCTGCGGTAAACACTCACAATCGGTATATTTTCCTTTGAGTATCTTCCGACACCCTAATAAACACGGGTTTTGATATGTGGCTTTATTGACAGGATCACACACCGGTTGAAATATGTTCATATCACAATTACATTTTTTTTTACATTGAGTTTCTTCAACTTCTGGTAATAACAATGGACTATCAGTCGATTCATCCGATGAAAATGCACTAGAAAATATTGTCATGACATGATCTGTACCAATAACTGGTTCACGACAGTGGAGTAATAAACCTACAAAGCAAAGAAAAAATGGATACATAAAACAGACAAGTTAATGTGCATTCATACCTAAAAATATCACAGAAGACATTGCTAACACTAGACAACAAAATTTTGCACATTTTCGACCGTCAAAGTTATGACGTTTGACCATATAAGCACCCAACGGTGTACCAAGCACTACACTAAATAAACTAATGACACCCATATAGATACTTGAATGTGATGATGTCGTACGAAACTGATATTCAATATGTTTGGATAAAAATGCCAAGTAGCCTAAAAAGTAGAGAAGAGGCACCATTTTTACCAATAATATATTCTAAACAAAAGTATACGACTAACCTTTGATTAGAAGAGCTTCGGTAACGGCACACAATGTGATACCCATGTAACGTAAATTAATCAATAATTGTTTGATAAGTGAGTAGATATCATAAAAGCAATCTGTTGTTGGAGAAAGTTTTTGTTGATGGATTTGTTCTTCAGTGACTGCACTCAGAATCAACGTGCGACAAATGTCAATTCCATTTTGAGGATGAATTTGTATGTCTTGATCTTCCCCATTTTGAGGATGAATTTGTATGTCTTGATCTTCCGTTGTTGCATTATCATTAAATATGGTGGTGGAGGGTCTTGTTTGTTGGAATGAACTGATATCTGCATATGAACTAGTCGTAGTTGGTGTAGCTGATGAAATGTTAATAGAAAGTGGAACGCTTAAAGTTTCATTTTGATTTTTATTCTTCTTTATTACTGATGGTAATAGACTATAGTCTACACGATTTGTAGACAGTGAACCAGATCGACTACGTCCAGTATCAGAATAGAAGAGCAAGAATGACAACAAAAAACATATAACTGACGACAGCATATATAATATCCACCATGCTCTAGTAAGAAAAAATCTTGATAAATGATTAAAGTAGTAGTGTGGACATATGAAAATTATTACCCAATCCAATCTGCATAATGAGGTGTTAACCACACTGGTTTTCGAATGTTTGTATACACATTCAAAAATTGACTTGTAGCGAGAAATCCAAAGCCAATACCAATACCACCAATTGCGTAATAAGCTCCCTGCGCTAAAGGTGCAGTTTTGCTTGAAAATAAATCTTCAACTAGCGATACAGCTAATGTGCTGAAACAAACAGAGAGAGGTTAGAATATTTGCAAAGTGATATAGGTGGAAAACTCACGGTAGAGCTGCTGATCCACAAGCATTGATAATATTTGATAAATAGAAAACGTATTTTAAATGTCTTAAAAATTGGAGATTATTTGATACATTGCATACATTCACTGTTCGATTTACCACACACAATGTTAAATGATCAGCAGCTCTTGTCTCAAATATACGTCGACCACGCTTTAATTCCAAAAAATGAGGAACTGACATCACCAAAAATCCAATTCCGAGTATGGACATTGATGAAGCAATCCATCGAATCTTTCGTCCTTTGTCGCCTAGGTACCCGACCAATGGGTATACAAATACACTCACAAGTTCATAAACACTTTGAAACAAACCAGTGTCCGTACTTGTCATATAAAAACCTTTCTCGATGGTAGTTATGATCGCGTTATTGGCTCCGCCAACAATTGCATTTTGCACCAACGTACAAGCACATAACAAACAAAAAATACCTCTTGGTGAAGCATTTAAATTGGGCGAAGGTAACGGTAAATTAACGTCCATTTTTCTGCTAATTAATCAATTTCTACATTTTTGTTCGTTCCTAAACCCATTTAATACAAATCATAAACATAATCTATAGATAAACTGAATCTGTGAATCAAATTTCAAACGAGATTAGATATAGACTCGATCAATCAAAAAAAGAAATTATTTAACATTACCATAACGACTATAGTATTCTTACTTGACATTTTCTCCGTTCAAACTATACGACTACGATATCAATTCAGACGGGGCTAAGTTTTCAACAACTATTTTCAATATAACTATTATCATCATTATTTTCGAATAATATACGAGATTTTTAATCAGTCTGACAGATTCTTTGACGTCAAAGAGAATAAGTGATCTCACAACAAGATGAAAAAATTCACCACACTCTGTCACGTATTATTACTATTATAATATAGAAGAGACATAGTAGCAAAATAGAAAAATAACTAGGAGCGATTCTTTTGAAGATCTATCACATTTATATCGACCTTTACCGAATCGAATGAAACCATCAGGACTAGTAAAACTCGAGATCCTGAACACGAATATCACGTTCAAAAATTTTAAAAGTGTTGCTAAAGTGCCCCCGAACCGTGTCCGCATGGGCCAATCCAGTCAAATATCCACATCTGTCGTTCCGTCATTTTAAAAAGTGGAGAGTCGTGACTCTTGTTCTAAATACTACTCCAACTTCTAAACATTTTCTTTCAGCGAAATTTTTCCCCATCATGCTTCTTGTTTTCAGTGGATTTTCCGAAAAAAGGGTTTTTCAAGCAATTTTGGAAACCAATTATTGTCTCTTTAACTAAATCAAAACCCAACACCAATATGTGCATTTGAATCATCTTTTGATGTTCTATCTGACTGTATGTATTTCGATTTTATTCAATGTCATCAGAGTGAGCGACAGTAAAACCTTTTCAAGTCGTTTTGCCAAATTCGGTAACGTCAAGCAGGAACCCTGAGTCAACCTGGAATTCCAATGGTGGGAAACACAGATTTTTCTCATGTGCTACATTAGGATTATGAGTGCTAGAAAATGGTTTTGAACCCTCAGTCCTTGCTCTGTAGAAAATCATAGGCGAAGTTAGTTAAAAAGCGCTGGAGAAAGAGGTACGGAATTTCAAGATATCTACTTAAGAAATCTGAAACCAGCGAGCAGTTTAGTGTGCAACAGATTCTTTTTAATTCGGGCTCAGCATCTAAGCTTACCTTACTACAACTATTTTCATTGTATAGAAATGTTTTTTATGTACATCCCGTGCTCCCTTCTCCAGCGTTTTTTAGCTAACGTCACATACGATTTTCTAAAGAACAAAGAATTGGGGTTCAAAACCGCTTTTAGCATTTTATTTTATTGATCTAGCACATTATTTTTATTAATCATGTTCTCAATTATTTTGAAAGCAGAGGCGCAGTCGTTTAGATATTGCAGAATCTGTTTATCGAATCAGATTTAATGAAAAAGTTAATCATGTATCCGTATCGTTTTTCTTACTTACATTTTTCTTGATCTGATAAAATGTTTAATAATTTTTAAATGACTTTGTTGTTGACAACAGAATCATCTTATTTACATAATGATATTTTTAAGTCTATATGATGATGACAGATGGATTTGTTATATACTTCTATTTAGTTGTTGATATATGTAAATTATATACTATATAAACATGTCTCTCTTTCTCGTTCTCGATCAAAAAAGAAAATACTGATACTTCTTAGTTGAATAAAAAAAGCGAAAAAGGTGACTGAAATGATTTACAGATAACAAATATTTCACAATGAACTGTATTTTTTGACCAGTCTCAAGAACATGTGCTATGTGTTTTTCTCGCTTAAAAGCAATCGTTTCAAATATATTATATGCCTACTTTATTCATCATCGTCGCGCGATAATAGACCGAAAGTTAATTCTTCTAATGGGTATATAAGAGTAGGAGAATAACAATGTGACTATGCTTTGCTCACACCTTGGAATAAATAAATTTTTTTTACAAAAAAAGGTACAGCACGCTATCAGAAAAGCGAATGTAATAATAAACATACGGACAGGTGAGAGGAAAAAAAGTAGGACAGCTAATTGTAGAGTGGTATTATTTTATCCGTAAATACATGCCTAAAATAATGCGGTTATTCTAAAATTTTGTATCGAGAAGAAAAAAAATGAGAATAAGTACTGAACAACGCATTTATTGATCTTTCTTCTACAATAGAAAATCGACATGTTGTCGAAGAGAATTTTCTTAAATGTAATTTGTGATCTTTGAAATTTGATTTCTTCACAATGTGATTGTAAAATATTACCATTAACTAACCTTTTATATACCGTTTGTAACAAAAAAGCTTTTCACTTCCTCTCTGAAAGTATTATCAAAGATTCTCACTGTTTCAAATGTTGCAATTAAGTCATCTCATTAGAAAAAATCAAAAAGGAAATTTAACTCTTGCTGAACTCTTTCAATCTTTCGTGCTTTATCATTACACATGATGAAAAGCTCAAGACTAACTATCTGTAATTACTGGTAATCAATAAAGAAATCATTTTCATTTCTCTCATCAGCTCTCTGACAAAGTTTCTTATTTCATGACGTCAAACGTTGTTTTACTATATTCTCTTTTTCTTTACATTAAAACACAAAAATCAGAATGTCTTTCGCATTAAATCCCTTTCTTTCCATCATGTATAACCCTTTTTTGTATATACTCACAAAAGTCGTGAATGTAGCAGAATCTGAAGATTTCGTTAGACCTCTGAATTGGTAGAAAACTACCGACGTTTGTTACACCTTTAGACTAATCGACTTATTTTACTTGTTGTCAGGACTCTATGGATCAAAAGTAGAGTAGAACATATACATCTAGAGAGAAAAAGCAAGGTCAGTCGTACTGTTTTCCCTCTGTTAGAAAAAAACGTACACTAATGTGTAATATATTTTTTTGTTCTTTTACCTAAATAGTCTATGTGCAGTTAGTCGATACGTCTTTTGGCAGTGAACCAAAAGTAGACTTGTTTTCTCTAATACCTTAATGAGAAACTTACTCAAATATTGCTAAGATTTGAGAATAATTTTATTTAAACCCTCAGTAAGATTTCACTTACATTTGTCTAAGAACTTAGACAACTCTTATCAAGATCATGAGACCCAAAAATTCTAAGATTTTATAAGATTTAATAAGATTTTGTCTTATTAAGCTGTTATGAAGAATAGGTTACACTTTATCTAAGATTTTTTCAAGACTGGGCGAGAATTTGTTAGTATCTTAACAGTAACAACTACTACGTTTTTTAATAATATTAATTCACCATTAACTAATAGTGTTTGAACATCTAACCTACACTGTTTTGATAAAAGCTGAACAAATTTGAAGAATGATGAGAAATTTCATATTTCTGGGGTCCAATTATGTCCATGTATGAGAACAAAACAAAAGGTGAATAAAAATAGAATCATCAAATCTTATTCAGATCTTAATTAAGATTTTGGATTACCTTATCGGTAATCCGGATCTTAAAAGAAAAGATCTTAGTAAGATAATTTTAAGAAGTGTCTAAGATTCTTACTAGGGTAATCCAACGAGCATATACTTTTGTCATCGAGAGACAGGGATGAGAAAAGATCAATAAGTTAACAAATGTAAACAGATGCTGTGAAAACGACTGAACGATTCTTAGAGCTGAATTTACTTGTAATACAGAGACCAACAAAATTTTATCTTGTGATTTATTCTCACACTACGCGAACCCTTCCCCCGACTCCAATGTTCAAAAAGTATCTAATAGTCCAAAAGCATGTTAGTCTAAAAATTGAACAATCGTCTAAACGGTAAATGTTCTTAGACATCTCAGAAGCTTAAATGGATCTCGATTAATATATTATATGTGTGAAACTCGTTCACTTAAAAAGATTCGAGACTTAATTCAATTGAGGCGTACAGATACACACAGAACAAAAGATCTTGTGTGAGGACTTGGCAGGATCTATTTTCATGATTTGTCAAGAACCATGCATCTTTCCTTCAGATATCTTAAGATCCTACAGCGTTTTATAATTATACACCAGATCTTGTAATTAAGAGGTGTTTCACGCGTACACCAAAAACTAGCGAGTGATAATCAAAAATTTTTTTCTTTAACCTCTAAGAAACATATACGAGTTCGAAGTTTGCTCTGCATAATCAGCTATCTTAGGCTAAAGGTTAAAATCAGGCTTTCTATGTCACAGTTGGGATATTTGCTAAAGTAAAATTAGCAGTTTTCGGATATTTTCGGCACAGCTACCAGGTTATTGAGCTTAAATAATGGTTTTGGCCGAGCAGTTTGAACAAATACAAAATTCTGTGGGGTTTAATTAGGATTTTAACTGATTTTGAGAAATTTTCAGAGTTTGAGTTTTACGCATAACAAAAATGTGTGGGGTTGATCTTGAAACTTCGAAATTTTTTAGAGAAACCATACTGAAGTAAAGAGTGAGAACAATTCTAGGAGACCTCCATCGTGATGCTTTCTAATCTCAGAGTGAATTTCTCAGTTAACAGAGCTCCAACTCAAACGACAAAAGTGACTATAAATGTGATTTGATGATAATGTGAGTTTGGCTCGAGTTTTTGCCATATCCATTTCACCATAAGCACTGTTTTTGAGAGAGAGAGAGATAAGAATAGAACAGAAAGAAGCAAAGCACAAAAGAACACTACACAGTTGATAGAATCGAACACTTGAACTTTGAATTCAAATGCAAAGAATTTACTTTTGGACTAAATTGTCCAAAAGTAAACTCTGAGGTGTTCTCATCCCCATCCTGTGCATTGCTATAGTGTGTTCTACTCCCGCTGCTCAACCCATACAGCTTATATCCTTGATCAGCGACCAAAGCCTGCATACTCTTTGATGAGTTATGTTATCCTATTTGCACTGAGGATAAATAAACAGAGGATCTTTTCAAAAAACTTAACAGAATAGTCTAAAAGAAACCGAAAACGAGATGACAAAACGTGAGACAAATTGTCAAAAAGTGTATCTCACGATGAGATCAAAATTCCGGCGGCTTTCTTCATTAAGATTGAGACACTGGCAGCTCGAATTAAAACAAATAGCTCATACTAATATAGGGAACAACTTCCAATGTGATTAATAAAGTTGCCTGAAGTAAAATGAAAAATTCTACTTTTATGCATGAGTTAAAAGATACATTCATTTAAGTACATTAATATCCCTTTCAGCACACTACAGAATAAGTATTTAGGCATACTTTTTATTCGAGTGTAGGGCTGGTACTCAACCCTCAATTTTATCATTAAATCAGCTTTCTAAAAAACTTTGTTCACAGTAAGAACTAGTCCCTGCTCTATCAAGTGAATCAATAATCAATCTGATCCGAAAAGTAGTGCCGAGAAAAACTTGTTGGTCTGACTATCTAAACGATAATCTCCACTCTTGAAGGGCCTTCAAACTGCAAAAACGTTCTCGTATCTAAAGAAATGTTGTTTTAGCTCACTGAACAAAATTTTCAGTAAAACTCTTTTTCTCTTTGTCAAATACAATATAATTAGATAGATTCATTAGACTGTATGTTTTTTCCTAAAATGTTTGCTTTACAACATAGTGTTTGACGACAAATATAGCAGCGTTAGAAGAAAATTTTGAATACCTTTATTCCAACTAAAGATTAACAGTTATCTTGAGAAAAAATCTATCATATCGGATAACTTAGGATCTGTATATTTCCCTTTTAAAGTGATGCTTTGCCCTCAAGTAAGATTTTGTGACAGGTTAATACTTCTATGATTCTTTTACATATATTGTTTTGCTGACTCATTCAACAGCTGTTATCGTACTTATATCTTAAAAAAGTTTTGTATAATAGTCATTCTATAGTACAAAATATTTATGTGGATGCAGATGTAACTCGTTGCAAATTTTTAATCTAATACCCGTTAAAATGACTTCTCGTCTTTCTTTCTTTCTATTAATAAATTAAAGATAATAAAATTGTATAGTTACATTTTCGTTGTGTTAGGCACGAATACCTCATCGATGACTCCCTCCAGTGAGTAGTGATAGAAGCCCACATGAGGAAAGAATTTCTCTATTTTTCTATTTCCGGTTATGGTCTACATGTTATTGTTCTTCTCTCTCGTTAAGCACAATCTAATAGGATATTTTTTCACGTTTATTTTTTTCACGTCTGTTGTAAAAACAGAAAAAAATAATGGTTATATTCAGTCTTTTTCTGTTTCTTCATTTTATTTCTCTGTTCCCATATATAGAGTTTAAGAAAAAGAAAAAACAACGAAACATTTGGAAACATATAAGCGTCTATATTATTTATCGATGTTTTTTATTTTTATTTCTTGTTCTTTATTGCGTACATCCACGACCATATTATTATCATTGAATGTTGAACCATTTCTCTTCTTGTTTTTAGCATCTTATTCTTTCTTTATTTACCTTTGGTGAACTGGAAAAACAAGAAGAAAAATATCTTATTTTCGTCTCTGTGTGAATAATACAAAGGCAATGCGGAAGTTTTTCAAAACAAAAATATAATGTTTGACGTAAATTAACTTCGAAAAAAGAGCATAACATATGAAAGGAAAAACGATCTCCGATAGATGGATGGATTAAATATTTTTTCATTAATATTCAGCTCGTTTAAATTATCTCGTTATAAATAGATCATCATCTATTTTCTTGTAATTTTTTTCTTTTTGAAGTGCTTTTTAGATGATGAATGGCAGTTGATGGAAAGGAGTTTAGATTTATTTTTTATTTGAACCTTTTAGCGCGAGAATGATGAGAAATTTAATAAAGGATGACGTTGATTTTATTTAGATCTTAATGTTAGTCGCGTCGCTAATCAATTCACCAAAAATATCATGCCACCATCATATCTTAAGTGGAAATGTTATACGATAAGGCGATCGAGAAGGACAACTAATATCTTTATTTATCTTTCAAGTGAACTGAGATATTTAGACACAACTTTGAAAGGCGGTGAAAAAGTCGATCGTCTATGGTTTTTTTCGTGTAACACAGAAAAATTGTTAAAGATAATTATTGTCAACGGAGCATAGTTCTCGTATGAACTTCATTATTCTTCAGTCGTAAATAAAGAATTTTTATCACAGGCGAATTTCATACCTAAATCTTGAAAATTAAGTAGATTCAATAAAACATTCGTTGTTTTCTTTTCTTTTTGTAGGGCAGGGTGAAGCTTCAGTACGAGGAAAGTTAAGCACGAAAAATGTCAGCACTAGGCAGGATAAGCACCAAAAGAAATCTGTGCAATTGTCATAGTTTTGAAACAATAGTACCAACTGACAATCAATTTGGAACAAATGGTTGTTTATGAATTATGCATGGAGGTATGTATAGATCATGTCTACAAGTACACTCCAGTGCTCAAGTCAGGCCAGGCAACCCGCCTGTCTGCACAGGTCACTAATTGTCGGCTTGCATCAGGCTAAGGTAGACCTAGTCTAGACTGAAATAGGTTCAGGCACACCTTTGAAAAAGCAAGGCGATCGGGCCTATGAAATTTGAGTATTATTATTCAGAATTCAGGATTTCGGCTGTCGATCTTTTTTACTTTTACTGCTGTCGACTTGAGCAAAAACCAAACTTTTTTACTTAGATATATTCTTTAGTTATCTGTCACTTTGTTTTCGGCCTGTTTCGAGCTCTGGTACACTCTAAAAAAAATGTTTATTACGAAACCTAAAATGATTTCGAAATAGTTATAATACTCTATATTCTTTTAGGTTTCGTAATAAACTTTTTTTACAGAGTATACAGCTGAATATGAAATTAAGATATACATTTTACAACTGAGTTTAACAATGTAATAATGGGATCCTGAGTCGACTATTTTCAAAAGGTCAACGTAAAAGTGATATAAACAGATGAAGAGACACTGTTGCCATTATCATATATTTTTCATTACTTAGTACAATTTCAACTAACGGTAAACATAAAATATTTTGCATTTAAATATTCGTCTCAATATTCTCATTCCTGACTAATATTTACGTTAAGTTTAACGATATAGATCCGATAAAATAAATCAGTGTGAGAGTGCAGATGTAACTGAAACGACTATACACTTCATAATGTGTGATTCATTATATACAAAAGATTTATTCGTAATTGAATAAATATTTGAATATCTAACTATCAGAATTTATTCTGTTTTTCGATTCCGAAAACTAACTGCGAATAAAATGTACCATGTGGCTTAGCTTACCAAAATGTATCTAAAGCGCTAGCTTTCATCTGTACTATATATGTCTGATCGCGAATTTTTGCTAATAACTCTAGTTGTTGACATATGATCCATATAAAGACGAACACATTTGATTTCCATATTGATTGTCAGTTCGTATTTTGTTTCAAAACTATGACAAACCAATACTTACGCTAATTTCTCTTGGTGCTTATCCTTCCTAGCGCTGGAATTTTTCGTGTTCAAATTTTCGTGCTTAATTTTCCTTGTGTTGAAGTTTCCGTTTCCCTTTTATAGTGAATGTTGTTACCTGAATGGATCGAAAAAATAATTTTCAATGAAAATATGCAGTTCGCGTAATAATGTTGACGATAGTTGCAAAAAACAAAAATTTTAAATGGAATAGATGAAAAAATAAAAGTGAAAAGACCTCGTTTGTTGTCTTCTTGCGATATGAAGTGCAAATAATAGAACGTCCGTAATAAAAAATAAGAAGCTTATAAATTTGTTTAATTACATTCGAGCGGTGATACATAGTAAATAAAAAAAGTTGATCATTTTTTTTGTACATTTTTCTATTTTTATCATTAAATTAACAAAACAAGTAAAAAAATGAAGAAATAGATTAAACGAATTGCCAGATTTTGAAAATGAGAAAAAAAAATTGTATATAGATTTTAAGTAGTGTTAGACATCGATTTCATGGTCTAGTATTATCAACTATCTTTTGTGACAAAGAAGGGATGTAATTGCATTATGACCATTGTTTGTTCAAACATTTTATTTCAATCATGTACAAAATAGAAAACAATTATAAATCTTAACTATGTCAAACATATACACCAGTTCGATTAAATTGTTCCAAAACGATTACTTTTCATATGAAAATGGATGAGATCGGACAGAATAAAGCCAGAATAAGAATAAACACTGGATATTTTGATATTTCTAAAAACAGACATGAATTTTCTAAGTATAATTTAACGTTATTCAGCAGAAACAATAAAAAAATTATTAACAGTCTAGAGAGAACGAGATACAAAAGTAGTACACAGAAACATGATCGATTAGAACGATACTTTCTTCTCGCTACTATAAACAAAAGAAGAATGTAAGAATTATTGATCACCAGAACTTACCAGACGATTTACTTCTTAATCCACCTAAAGTTAAAAAGATGTTTATCAGTTGGCGAACGAGTGAATGTTTAACAATGCACTTACAAGGCTTTGGGATATTTCTTGGATGATCACAACGCAATGTAAGCGTGTTAAAACGTGATCCTCCTGGGCAATCATCCGATTTTGCTTTTCCTTGATCAATACACGTATACCAACTTATACAACCAGTATCAATCTCTGTATATTTTCCATTTGGTTGACCATTACCTAAAGTATTATAATTTTTTTCTCTATAAAGAATGGCTCTAATTGATTAAAAGCCATTAACTTACATGGATCTTTATACTTTTCATTTTCTGGTCGATCACCACAAAAGACTTTTCTGTAGTCATTGCATGTTTTCAAATCATCATCAAACAAATTTTTTTCAGGACAACGAGATTTAACTGATATCCCTTCCTTGCAATAAAAATAAGCTAAATGAAAATTTTATTAACTATTTAAAACATGGATAATCGTCAATCAAAATCAACTTACATGCACAATTTGACACATCTGCCACATTTCCTTTGAACATACACAATTTTCCTTCTTCAATAGCCATTGGATCTCGCGTAGATGATGAAACTTTTTGTACAGTAGTCTTTGTTGTTAATGTTGTTTTCTGATTTCGTTTAATTGATACATGTCGTATGGTCGTCGTACTATCGTCATGTGTTGTTTTAGTAGAAACACTTTTTACGGATTCGTCGTTTTGCCAATTTTCCGGTGGAGTCCAATTTGGTCTCTCGCCAGCATTACACTCAATATTTTTCGAAAGATCACAACGTTTGTTATCAACATCGTACGCCATTCCACTACCACACCAACCGCCCACGCTAATTCCGCTATTACATGTTAAATACCTAAAAAATAGAAAAAATTCTCTTAAATTCATACAATTTATTACTTATAAAAACAGTACAAATTCTAATATATATTTTAATAAATAGCACCTATATACATATATTTACTTTTCGCAATCCTTGGGATCAGGCCATCTTCCATCTGCAGGACATATAAATTCGCTTGATACCTTTCCGTTGATAAATGGGTAAACTGGAAATAGAAAAAAAGAAGAAAATATTTAAATATTCAATTAACAGTAATGACATGATGATTATTATTTCTGCTCTTTTGTTTTTGAGTTTGTTCTATCTATAGTAGATATTACTTACCACTAATTAATATCAAAGTTTTAAAAAAAAAAGAAACTTCCAATTTTATCCATTTTTCATCCATTCAATTAAAACAAAACGATTATTTTCTTCTAACTCTATTTAAGCAAAGTGTCAAAATTTACTAAATTATTTTTCTTATTCATATAACTAGACAAACAAACGAGAGAAAGACAGGAAGTGACACGAATGTTCATCAAGCTAGACAAATGTTTCGGTAAAATGATGTACACACTTTTTCGTTCTATCTTTCTTTTTATTTTGTGTAAACATCCACTCCTTACGGAAATAAAAGATGCATAATCGTTGTTTACAAAGAAGATCTAAATCAAGTATAATAAAGGTGACCATCAAAATATTTTCAGTATACAACAAATATCTTTAGAATTATGAATGGAGGAGGAGGCGGAGGAGTAGTTTCATAAATATTTTATTGAAAAAAAAAATAATTCCGTTTGCAAATATAAATTCAGTTATTTATTTTCGAATTGAGTTGAAACTGTTAATTTTATATTCAAACATGGTTATCCATCATAAAATACCATCTATCTTTAACAGTAATTTTTTCCATTTAACGGTTTTGAGTTGATCCGTGGAGCAATTGATAGGGGCAAGCTAAGTTAAAACAAATTAGAATATGAAACTCAGGTCTTAAGTGACTTTGTAAGTTTGGTATTATTTTCGATTTGAACTTTTTTCTTCTGCTATTATTTCCGTAAAAACGTGTGGCAAAAATGAGAACTCAGTTTTTTTGTACTTGGGATGATTGCCCAGGAGGATCACGTTTTAACACGCTTACATCGCGTTGTGATCATCCAAGAAATATCCCAAAGCCTTGTAAGTGCATTGTTAAACATTCACTCGTTCGCCAACTGATAAA